ATACGTTTCACTGCAACTGCCCACAACACAATATCTAAAAACTCTCTCTCTCAAGAAAAAAGAAAATAAACAAAAAAAGAAAGAAAAAAAACGCCGACAAAAAAATGTATATGTATATTACGGCTCAGGGGTATGACTTCCTCTCACATTTTGGCATTTGGTGGCGCACTTTCGACGAGAGTCGGAAATCTGGAAACAGTCGACCGTTTCAGGATAGGTGGGCGTGGCTACAACACGAGAAATATCCCAAATTTACTTGGATACGAGTAATCATTTTCAGCAAAAAAATCAATAACTGCCCATTTCAGTGGGATACAGATCTAAAATGGGAAACGTGAGGGTGGGCATTGCACAGGCACTTTAAGGTGATATGATGCTTGTTTGAAGAGAACATCAAATTTTTAATCCTTGAATTTGGCTATATCAAATTTGCAAATTTTGATAATTCACGATTTTTACTGCATGTATTAATGTGCATGGTGGGTTCATAATTGTACATTATTATGTGACTTACAGTAAATATGAATTTTACTATGACTCCAGGATCCTAGTGAAATGACGCCACTGCTAAAACAAATTTGTGATTCTTCCCTGATGTTCAAATTAAATCGATTTATTTTACATGGATATGTGTAAAACAGCTTAAATTGTACTACATGTGCTAGAACTGAGAGCTGTATTTAATAATAAACCAGATGTTTTATTGGTAAAAGTTTAAACCAACAACAATATTATGAATTGTTGAATAATTTTTTTATATACTGCTTTACCATATCATGACCTGCATCCCAAGCTGCTATCAAAAGTTGAATAGGTCTTTGTAGTTTTAAAATATATAAAGATTTTATTGAATTTTTATGAAATATGTTGCAATAATCTGATTTCAATAAGTTTCTTTTTTTCCATTTATAGTTAATGGTTTTAAGTGCTTACAATGCAACAGATGTCATTAGTCGGTACCTGGTGCCAGTGACAGATATCATCACAGGTCAAAATTTTGTAGATAGGTGTGTGTTACTTTATTTTGCACAATTTTTTATTGAACTTTCAGAATGATTTAATTTAATAGGTGGCCACAACTGTGAATGAATCTTTTTGTCTGAATCTTTAGTGTCAATTTGTCTATAAATATTTCTTCTTCTACATATACGGTACAACTGATTTTTACACAACTGTCAGTTTGTCCTCCGTGCATCTGTTTGCAGCAGTATTTTTAACATACCTAGCCCAATTACGTTCAAATTTTACATGAACATCACACATCATGTCATATTTATATACATGTATTTGTTTAATGATCCGATTAAGATGAATTTCTGCAATTCCAGAACTGCATCTCAGGCAACATATTTTATTTGTTAGTTTAAATGTGAGCGGTCAAGGCATAAAATAAGAGATAAAATAATGTTGGTGAATATTGAATGGTTTCATGCATTATTGTAAATAATTCAACTGCATTGATAGCTAATAACTAATGTCAAGTAATTTAAAGGCAAACAAACTGCTGAAGGTGCTTTAGATTGATTAAATATGACTATTTTAAAATATCAGTGGGGCTTTATGTAATGTCAAGGTTTGGATTTGTTATGCATATTTATTAAATGGAAATAAATTGTTCTTTTTGTATGCTAATGCTAATTATCTAATTTACATATCATGATTTAATCCATCTTTTATTTACATTGATAAAAATATAACTAAATATTTGTTAAATTTCACCAACAGCCAGAATGATGGAATTGATGGTCTTGAATGCTCCTCTAGATCATGCCCATATATAGATATACGCTTTGAGGCACCAATCAGTCAAAATTACAGTAGAATAGAAAAATACACATATGAAGCACCATGTCATAAGTACGAGTATGCAGGTAATCTTGAAGCATTGTATGTATATCAAGGATTGGTTCATCGAATCATTCAGCAGTGCTGTGCTAATACAAAGGTAATCTCAGATGCCATATTTCCTGACTTTATTTGATGTGTCAATCGTTGGATGATAATTGTATTACCATATGCCAATTTAATTTGATAGCCCAGTATCAACCAACCTTGTTTAAAATCCTGTGAATTTTTCAATTTGGCTATAAAAAATGATGTCACATTGATCACTAAAAAATAGCTACCAGTGGCATGAATTCCATGGTGGCAAGATGGGTGATAATCTGTAAATCTTAATTGAACATGTTGATTAGTGAGTAACTTTGAAACTGCTCATTTCAATTAATGCATAATATATGTTTTTATATACCATAATTCGTTAGCAGCTAATATCATCTTCTTCCTATACTGCATTATAACTGTGTTACTTTTAGCAGAAGCCCAGCTTAAAGTACTAATCATTTACCATCCACAGACATATCAAAATCCTTACAATGAAAATCCACTTCAAAAATGGAGAGAGCGACACCTCAGTCTGCGTAATTATTATTGTTATTTACACTGGAACCATCTGTTGGATGGATTGTTTGTACCGCTTCATTTAACAGACAAGGTAATGTCTCTGTACAACAAATATATGATATGATTCATGGAGTGTCGACAAATTATATACCATAGTGATATTCACATAACATAATAACATATCTTAATTTGCCGATTTCAGAAGGTGTTTTTATAAGCTCCATGTTTGACCATAATTCTGGAAAGATCACTGCATTTAAATTTGCAGACAGGAATACATATTTATACAAGTTATCTCTGTTGAAATAGATATATGATGAAGACAGTATTTCAGGTAGATTACCAGACACGATATACTTAGATAGAAATCAGTCCTACAAGTTTAGTCTTAGGATTTCAGTAGATGATAGTAGCTGCAACACAGGTAAAGTCTCACAATAGTTAGTTACAATAATATTATAGTTATTTACAATTGATAGTTACAGTGTTACAATAGTTAGTTACTTATTAGTAACAATTTTAGTTGCGATATCGCTACAGTTACAATAGATGACAGTTACAATTACAATTAGTTACTTTGTTAAATAGTTACAATGGTTCAGTAAAAGTTGTTACAATAGTTATAATGTTAAAATAGTAAATAACAATGTTTGTATGGATTCATCATACAATCACTGTAAAATTAATACATACAATCAGAAGTGGATAAAACATGCAGGTGATGCAAAGTTCATGTGGTGATTGCATTGCAGAAGGTCCTGGACGCCCGTCACCGTCAAGTATCATAGTGAACCTGCTGCTTAATAATGTGCCTTTTAATAATTATGTAAAATATGTGACCATGGCATTTATTTCTGGTGGGAGTGAGTTCATTTTTGTTTTATTTGTGCTAAAAACCTAGTACAAATGATGATGATGATGGAAATGAATGGAATATCAGACAGGTAATTATAAACATGTGAGCAAACAGTTGATTTCTTATAATCAATGAGAATTTCATCACATAGTACCCTCCTTGCATGCCCTTATAAGATTATCCATTTCTGATCATATAATGTTGTCTGGCAACTTACCCAGACAGGTATTCATGATAGCATAGAGTAAATCTCTGTTTCTTTGATTTACTTTGCTATTATTATGGTTAGTATTGTTTTACGTGTGTAGTATTAGGCGATCAAAGCTGAGGCTAAGAATGGCTTTATACATATATTTGACAGGAATTATTATCTTGATATAGGCACAGCTGCTCTTCAGAAGACACAAGTACAGATAGACGTATCTGACCAATTATTGGATGTTTTTGCTGAAAGACAAGTACATGTTATTAATAACACTGTGATTTATCAGGTAATGTACATTATAATCAGATGAAAGAAAGGTGTGTGTGCCATGTGTGAATGTGCTAATTAGTTTGCTACTTTGAATTACTGTAGTGTTCCCCACCAACAGACTATTATTCAACAGGTGGCTGATTGCCACAAAGTTTATCATAGGTTTAGCTACAACCACTATTTCTTGTTTTTACTTCTAATTTAGGGAGAGGTGTTTCATACTATGTATCTTAGTCTGAGTACATTTAATGTTGTTTTCTTTGTGTGGGTGTATCGTATTTGTAATAAAGTCATAAAACTGACATCAGAACTGCAACAAAACATTATAACAGGGATGTTATTGTACAAAGGCATGGATGGTTGTAGTCATTGGGAAATGTTGTGTTTTATTTGGTATAATAACAAAAATGTCAACCCTGGCCATGGTTGTATCCCCTCAGAGAATATTGTTGACTTTGTCTTTGGGTTGACAGAATTGTATATCCAACTTGACATTTGTATTATATTACCACAAGCTGACCTGACCAAGCTATTTTTGAACAATTGTGTCATAGTTTATCTCAATCTTGTATGTTGTCATTAAATGCTACCAATATGCAATTTTTCAATCCTGGTTGGAGTATAATGTCTAGCTAAGTCTTGGAAAAATACATTAGAATAATAGGAAAAAATCCCCACTATTTACTTATTTAAATAATTAATTATTTAATTACTTTTTTAGTATTGTCGCAAGCATGATATTGTGTGTTTTTTTCTACCAGGTCACTGTGCAAGAATCGGATGTAGAGGTTGGTGTGGTCAGTCATTTCCCAGCTAAATCAATATCACTAATGTTACAAATATGGAACTCAGCATTTAAATGCATCACGCATAGATTTAACGAAAAACACATTGAGGTACAGTGGCTAAATAAAACTTATTGATTCAACTTGCTTAATATTAGGGTTTTACAAGACTAGGGTATGTAACTTTCCTAATCACGTATGATGATATGCGACGAAGATCTCATGAGCAGTGAACTGCATTTGAAAGCATTCCCAGTCAGTGCAATGGCAATCAAACTTAGTTCTAACCAGTAGCATCATAGAACACAGTTGGTGCTTGAAAATGTTTGATTGCATTGTGTGAGATTATCGCCACATTCAAAAATGCAAAATTCATGTATTGCATGATTTCTTCACCACTTTTGTGACCATATTGTATTTTGCATGATTTTTTCAATTCGTATGATCTACCCTAATCTTATAAATCCTTGACATTAGTATGAGATTATTGGGAGAATGCCACAAAGTATACACAAAGGCGGAGATTGATTGCAAACATGTACTGTTTGAGTGCATAGTTTACAAATCTTCTCACAACCTTACTATCTTTGCAGTCAATTGCATGCATGTGGTATGAAGCTCTGAACTGGGCATGGTGGTGAAAAACATACCCACCATCTTAAAATATCCTATAATCATCCTACATTCAGACTTCCTAATAAGGTAGAAAACAGATATTCTCTGCAAAATGACAACATTGTAACTTACGTAGGTACAGTGATAAATGTATAATTATACAAGGCATTTATTCACTAAATTCACATTTAAATACACTTTGTATAATTTTTCCTATTTTCTGTGTGTGTCTTAGGGCAGCTATGTAATGAATGTTATGCTTGGGTGTCCACCAGGAAAGCATTTAATTTTTGATATGAAGCAATCCTTAGACTTTTCAAGCTCTGTCAGTGAAGTTGCTTATGACTGTCCAGTTTCTGATCCTGAGATGCCATGCCTTTATTATGAAAATGGTGAGTATTCACTGTTATTGATTTGATGTTGTTGTTGTTAGTAAGTACCGGTAAACTACAAGATATGCTTCTAATTGATCTTTCCCTAAATTTTTCCATTCTGCTCTTCATTCAAATTTTGTTCATTTGACAAATTTTGCACAACTGCAACTGACTTTTAGTTTTGCAAGTAGCCACATACATCTAAGCGCAGTCCCTCAACACCGACTGCGACGATGCCTCCGACTCAGATTTGTCTACGTCTCTTTTCATGTACTCGGCAGCAACATAATCTGGTTCTTCTTCCAATATATCATTCCAATCGATGTCACTGTCGTCGAAATTTAAAAAATCCTCCCACATCTCGTTAAAATAAGTATCGTCTCTCACGTTGAAGTAAAAATCAAAACAAAGTGCATGCATGCGTAGCAGTGAATCGAAAAGGCTTCTGTTATACCCTATGCTAATTTTATGTTAATATAAAGCTAAGTAGGCTTGGGCTCACACTCGGTCGTCGGATTAACGAATAAACAACGAATAAACAATTTTACGAAGGCGAAACGCGCATTGAGACAAAAGAAGTATTAACGTTTCCCAACCAGGTTTTGAGGGACTGTGATCTAAGGTATCTAGAGTAACTATCAAAATACACTGTAATTGTGTTATATCAAATTATTTGGGGACATACAATCATTTTCTTAGAGTGTTAAATATAATGAGTTGGAGACATGCAATGTGTTCATTATATCAGGAAATTCATTGGTTCTAACAGTAAGGTATATTATCAGTGATATTATATCATCATCTTCTGTATATTTGTAGGATTCTACCCTCATTTCTACATTGAAGAAATGTCAACAGGACATAAAGAGTTATTCACTGGCAAATATATTATGAAAATCATTGGTGGTGGTCTCTCTATATTGGAAATAACACACTACTCTTCTAATGAGATTGCAATGTATAATTCTAATCGCCCGTAAGTATATGCATTTATTGGGAATTCTTTGACCATAATTGTAAGCATATCTCGAAATCTCGAATTGTATTGTGTTTGCTCCATTTGAAACAATCACACTTACATAAATTACCTGTTGAAGAAGATGGAATTGTTTCGTAAGGAGTGGGTAGAGGTCACTGTATTGATTGGAGGACTGTAAGGGACGGCGTCAAAATATCAATGTCGGATAAAAAACTTATTTGCTTTAGTTTGGGGGTGGGGGCATTTTGACCTCAAAAAGTTAGTTTCCATCCTACAAAAACGATTTTATTTTTTAATGAAGTCGAAAAAATCTTGGAGTATTTGTAGATCGTTTTTTTTTTCTATCCAATCATGGACAGAAATAACAGAAAATGGGAAAAAAAATATCCAAGACCAGAAAATGGTTTGATCCAAGAGTAAATATGTGCGTCAAATGAGGTGCATTTGTAAAGTCTTTTTACACCCACCCGACAACCAACTGCTATGCAATACTACTGTCTGATTATCAATTTGTATTTAATTGTGAATGTAGTCTGACACCATGTTTGGGAAAAAACTAAAGGAGATAAGTTTTTTATCCTACATTAAACTTTTGATGCTGTCTCTAACTGGATATCAGTAACACTAGTGCACATATCAATTAGAGAGTACATGTCATGTAGTTTGAGGGTTAGCAAATCAGCATTACGCATCTATATTAGTATGTCCATCATATATAGGTTTCAAAGATGATAGATTATATTATTATATTATATTATTCCTATATGCAAATCAGCATGCAATTTACACATCAATATCAGTATGACCATCACACATAACAAGTTTGATGAGTGTTGAATTTATAATAATTTATCTACTGTAAAATATTTTATTTTCGCTTGGAATTAATTTTCGCTATTATCGATAAAGGAATGATTCAGTGAAAATAAAATTCAGTGAATATACCTTTTTTTTCTATATTTTACATTCAACTTGTTAAAAATCAGTGAAAATAAATTCCATACAAAACACTCAGAAAGTCTTTTCAGCGAAAAATTAATTCCAGCTAAAATAATGTATTTTACAGTATCATATATGCAAATGAGAATGCAATTCACAATATGTTTCTTCCAGAACAGTATTATTATCACAGCTTCAGAAGTATGCACATAAAAACTGTCGCTGGTAACCACTATATCCTCTGCCTGCACTTTTTGTGTCAGTTCTCATTAACCATTTTCTTTTACAATCAGACACGCGACTCCTGTGATGGTAGGAAAAAACACTTCAGAACAAGATAATGATGGTATGTTTATATATACACACCAGACAAAGGGAATCATATGGCATTGTCAAGCACAGTCACCTTGTGGTAACGTTCCTTTAGCCTTTCCATATGCACCTGAGTATTACTTCCTGATTGAAGTATCAAATAGGTAAGATAGTGATAAATACAGTATGACTGAATAAATAAATAAATAAATAAATAAATAAATAAATAAATAAATAAATAAATAAATACAGTCATTCTTTCATAAGTATTAGTATAGGGGAAAAATGTTACATAAAATATATAACAAAAAGTAGTGGGTGGGTTTACCAAATTCATTCATTATCTTTCAAATTCAATTTGTTAAGGATGCTGTACACCTTTTTTTGCTTTGAAACACAAAATTCTACTTTTTGGTATTTTTCAATGCTGGACTACAAGGAGCAAACACTTAGTAGGAAAAAAAGTGAATAACCATCTGCGACCACGCATATGCACACATCTGCGTGATTATGACAGACAAATACCATGACTATTCATTATGAGTTTGTTTTGATCCATGGGACAAACGAATTTTGAGTTAGCCGACGATACGTTACTGCTAAGTTGTTTTTGCCATTTTCTCGG